TTACAGCCAACCATTTTGAGTGGATCAACCTCACAACTTTCTTTCGTTTCCAATATTGATTTAACAAATTCACCCAACGTTTCCTGTAAATTCAAGATTACGGATCGCCAAAGCATTTTTAAGGAATGTGGATAAATATATCGCTTGGTGGTAGTTGTTCATGAAAGCAGTCGATAATAGCAAATTGCAAACAGTGGAAATTTCTCAATACGAGCTACCGATTCAGACAATTTCATCGGCTTCAATCCACAGTAAAGTGGTTAGCACTGTCTGGTATAAGAACACTGTCTGGTTTCTCGCACCAGGAAATTTTATTACACGACAAAAACCCTTGAAAGCATCGTTCCTCAATGTACATTACAATTTACAGGATATCAACCCGGATGATGTCGATAAACTGACCTTCAGATATTCATCAGCTACGAGCTTCATATAAGCTTCCATCGCTTTAGTCGCTAATGAATTACCACGAAACATCAAGTGCTCGTTATCTGAACAGAGTCACAGATGAATTGTGCATTTTTGATGTGGAACAGAAAACTTATGCTCATTATCATGAATGATCAAAAACAAAATCCAGCGAAGGAATGAATATGCACGAGCAGTTCATCTCGTCTATATCAACAGAAAATCACTGCGACTGGAAAGTTGTCTCGATTTTCAACGAACACGGCTTTCACGAATGTGCTTCGCAAATCATAAAAATTCATTGCAATTGTAATGTCTGATTCAGTTCATTCAGAAATGTCGGAGTTCACCACAATGCAGCAAAACTATGTTTTTGTTTGAGCAAACTAATGAGAAAAGTTGCGACCAAAAAGATTACTATCAATTTCTAGCATGAAGCCATTCCGATAATTGTGCCAACTAAAAATTGTTTCACACAGCGCCCAAAAAGATCAATCTCAAATTTACTTCAGTAAATCGACTGCAGTAGGATACAACAGGGGTGATCCGCCAGTGCAATAGTGCAATGACCTTTAATTGTGAAAACGAATGGAAGCACTCACCCAAAACATCCACTTCGGACATAATGAGATCACAGAGAAACTCCTTGGCCAATCGTTGTTTATGCATTATGCGAACCATTGCAGTAGCACAATCCTCTTTTGCTTTCACCCCCAATAATGGCTCCAATGCCAAACAAAGTGATAAATAATGAAGTCTGAAATGTTATTGATGTCATAAATCCATGCTCTTACCTAAAACCATTTGCAACATAAAAGAGAACACTGTTCAAAAAAGCTGAAATAACCGAGTATTGAAAAGATGACAAACCTTAAAAATCGCACTAAATCGTCATACATATACAACGGGAGAATATCCACTGACTGATAGCGGGCTTTAACTCGAATGGCAGCCGTCTCACCTTTGTCTTTACCAAGACCTGGCAACTTACTGCCATCCGAACTTGCCGTTACTGTGTACCTGCAAGTAGAAGATTTTTATGGCACTTTCTTCAGTCATAGCAATTTTGAACATGAATCTACTATTTCTGTTCCTCAGTGAACTGTTCTGAGTTCAGACCCGTGCCAGTGTCGGCAAACAACCGAAAGAGTCGGAGAAAAAATCACTATAATGAAAAATTATTCGGTTGAAAAAATGGAACACACCGGTAGTAAACCCAAAAGAGAGTCCGTATTTTCAGACAATTTTTAGCGATTTTAAAAGTCCAAGGTGAGCGCAATCGCCAACGTGGTCGATTCGCAATAAACAGTTGACTATCGTTTGAGTCAACCGTAGGACTTGAAAGTGAAGGAGTGGTGTCTTTGACGATGTCAATTTGCGAATTTGAAGATGATATCATTGCGATGCTTGGCGAATGAATGCTTAAACGAGA